TATTTAGGAGATAAAAGCCTTGGAATTTCATCTTGATTTGACCAGGCTTGGAAAATTGGGTAGATGTTGGTACCATTAATCAGGCTTCTTAACAGAGAAGGAAGATTCAGTTTGGGACAACTTCAGTTGTGCTGTTCATGGAATATTCACATAGAGAGGTGTGGCACCTCTCAAACAGTGGGATATTCAGGTCAAGAGATCTGGAAGTAAAGCTTTAAACTCATTACCCCTGAGGTTATCACTGAAATCCCTCTTACAAATACTACCACCCACTGAGAGCTTATACTGAGATAAGAAGACCTTCGAGAAAAATCTAGTGCACTGCTATTCAAAACACACTTCAGCCACTGGCTGCCTGTCCACTCATTGTTTCTTACCAGTTTGTGGTAATACAAGGAATGTGCTTCAGAATGTAATCAACTGCATCACTAAGCACATTGTTTACTTTAGCTGACTTTTCCTTTTAATCTTAGCAAGACTTTTAAGGAAGGAAGCATTGCATTAATTAACATCCTAATGCAAACTCCTTATTTTGTCCCAGATCAGCACTTGGAGTATCACTAATATAGAAAACACTAATATTTAAGCATTTGGGCAGAGGAAGAGTTTTCCAGAGAGACTGAGAAGGAACAGTGTGAATGGCAGGATGAGAAGCAGAAAAAAAAGGGAGGTGTACATGGTTTAAAGGAACGGTGGTCAGCACAGCCACAGAGGTCAAATTTGACCAAGGACTAAAAAATGATTGGATTTGGCCATTACAGGGCCATCAGTAACATTTGAGGAGTTTTAACCCCTGCTTGTTCTTCTTCCTTCTGCTGTCTCATTTTTATCCCACTAGCCTACCTCCCAAATAATTCTCAAATCTTTACCTTTGCCAGATGCAGAGCAGACCTCTTTAACTCTAAATCTAAAATATGCTTGGATTCAGTCTTCATTTTACCTTGGCTGATCTGAAGTTATAGATCACTCTCTTCCCATACTCTTTCCTCTATAGTACGCTGACCTTGGTTCTCCTTCTCATACCCTCCTACCTCCCCATCTGTCTCTGCTCATCTCTTTTACTCACACTGCGTGTTTTTAATTACACCCATTTCCCATTTCTTTTTTAAATTTTTTATTTATCAATTTGAGAGAGAGAAAGAGAGAGTAACATTGATTTATTGTTCCAATTATTTATGTATTCATTAGTTGATTCTTGTATGTGTCCTGACCAGGGGTTGAACCGGCAATGTTGGCATATTGGGACAACACTCCGACCAACTGAGCCACCCAGCCAGGGCTAACTGCACCCATACTTTAAGTTACTCCTGGTGTCAGTTTCTAAATCACATCTCTTTCCTAAGCTTCGAATCAGTCTAACAGCCTACTGGGTATGAATGCTACAGACTCTTCAAGTTCTGTATGTTCAAACATTGAACCTAAATTCTCACCTGCACACTTCCCTATAATCCTTTTTTCTTCCTAAATCTCATACTTTCTATAATAATCTACCCAGTTGCCAATCCATTGGCCCAAGCATCACACTTGACTTCCTCCTTCTTCCTTATCTAACTGATCTCGCCTCCTAATGGCACTTCAAAACATTAACTCTCCCTGTCCCCACTACCCGTATCTGGGCACCAGTATCCCTTACCCGAATTACTGAATTATTCTCTGGGATGGGCTCCCTTTTCAGTCTTCACTTGTTTCCAGTACCCTGGCACACTGGAGCCAGAGTCTTCTATCTGGATGGAAGCGTGATTACATCACTCTCTTACTGAATACTTTGTCCACTCCACTTCCCATGCCACCCCACTTCCCACCCACCTGCTTTCTCCCACCCCACCTCATCTCTGTACTCTTCCTCCATTAATTCAGGTCAGATTGATTTTTTTTTCAGTTCTTCAATCTCGCTCTCTCTCCCTCTCTCCCTCTCTCTCTCTCTCCCTCTTTTTCTCTCTCCTTCCCTCTCTCCCTCCCTCTCTCCCTCCCTCTGTCTCCTGTCCTCTCTCCCTTCCTCTCTCCCTTCCTCTCTCCCTTCCTCTCTCCCTCTCTCCCTCTCTCCCTCCCTCCCTCCCTCCCTCCCTCCCTCTCTCTCTCTCTCTCTCTCTCTCACACACACACACACACACACACACACACACACACACACACCTCTTTCAGCATCCTCATTGGCTGCCTGAACCATATTTTTATTCCCTTGTCACTGGTGCATTTTTCCTCCATCTTCAGGAAGCTTCTACAACCCTGTACATCTGAGTAATGTGGACTTCCTTTGTGGTCTCCTAGCATTCTGTCTTTTCCATGTTACAACCTTTTCCATATTGTTTTGTAATCTTTAATTTTTGTCACAAATCAGTGCCTTCCTCTGAATTTTAATCTCCAAGAAGGCAGGAACCAGGTCTCTTTGGTCCATCATTGTGCTTCAAGCTCCTCCCTAGTGCAATGCCTAGAAGAGTGTGAGCATTCAGCCGATGCTTGTGAAATGAAATGAATGCTCTTCTGAGTACTTTCACATCCATTGTCTCAGCGGGGGTCAAGTTGAACAATTTGGAGAGGATTTTAACGAAACATGAGATGTCAGTGGATTAGAAGATTAAAATATTTGTTGAGTTGTTTTGCACTAGGAGGAGGAAGGAGAAGTTGGGAAAGCTGGTTAGGAAAGCAGATGCATTTATTTCACCTCAAAGAACAAAGAGGAAAAGATTTTTTTTTGACTAGCTTGCATCATTTAAATTTCCTCTTCTAAGAAGTTGAGACTGGTAAATTGTGTTTGTGTGTGTTTATTAATATTTAAAGCTGTCAGATTGTCCATCTTTTAGGGCTTTTATTCTCCACCTGGAAAAAGTTTAGATAAGGTGATTTAAAAATCAACCTGAAAACTTTGTTCATCTAACTTACTTGGGGTGGGGGGCAAGGAAGTTACAGAAGTGATTAATCAATTGTAGCTTTTTCATTTCAAAAAAATTGAGATGGGATATATTTTTAAATATTTAATTGGCTTTTTAAAACAGGTACAGAAGCAAACACAAGGAAATAAAGGAATGGGCATAGTAGGAGGAAATCAAGGCTAAGAAAAGCTAGGTATGACAGATGTTGAGGACAAAGTTAATCCTAAGCTACCTGGAAGTCAAGGCAATGTGATAAGGTGCATTGCTTGATGTCCTTTAGCTTCTCAAAATGAATTTCCAAAAGCAGAGAGCTCATGATTCCAGATAGACTTTACAGGTCAAATCCCATGCCAGCTCTGCCAGTTGTGAAGTACATGCTCTGGTTTGAAACTGTTTAAGAGGTTGGTGTGTGTTCTGTCTAGGGTAGTGGCTATCCAGTTCTGCATTGAGATGTACCTTGTAGAATATTTACAGAAAAGGAAGGTCGAGACTTTTTTCTTCAAAGCACAATTGTGAATCCACTGAACTCTAAAAAAGAGTTTCATTTGGAGCTTCTAATTCTCCATAAAACATGGAAGGAAGATGCTTGGTTTGGAACAACTTGAGAGGATGCCAGAGTTTTCTGCCTCTGCAAGAAAAATGATCTAACATACATTTTGAGCATGCTTGACTTTGACCAGCCAGCACTGTATTCTCATAGTTCTACACGGTGTGTTAGGCCAAAGGTGCATCCCAAATAACTACGCACATGGACCTTTCATTGTGTGTGTTCAGAGATGTTGTTTGGGACTTTCTGCCCACAATTAACTAATGGGCTTGGCAGTCATCACAGTGGTTTCTGGGTATGAGGATTTCTAATGGGTTTGCATGAAGAAGTATGCTGTGACAGCAGACATGCAAAAGCCTCATTTAAAAGTGACACAAATCTACTTCGGTTTTCAAACTAAGCAGGAAGTACAGGACTGTTCCATGTGATTTAGACCTGGAATTTCCTCTGTCAAAGTCCCTTCTTATCTACTCTGACTCCTAAGGCTTAAACATGGTGGTAACACTGAGACCATGTGGTTGGGCACGTGATGATCTGTGGGTAGAGGGGTAGAGTCTGGGCTGACAGTACAGTAGCAAAGGCCTTCACCTGTTCTCCGTAGTTTTCTCTTTGGTGAAATATAACATCAAAATGGCTCAGTGAGAATATTAGATTGAGAGATTCCAACCCATATCTAAGAGAGAAATCTGGCAAAGATCTGGGGGAGAGCTAGCACACTGGCACATCTGGAATTTGGGGAGGTAGAAACTGGCTGGTGTGTAAACTGGATGGGCTAAGAAAAAAAAATGTACCTAAGACATGTGAGTAAATGGTTTGTTTTTCACTCTGGAAACAGGGTAAGTCTCTTCCCAACTGCCACCCAACCTTCCTTGAAGTTGGTTGGGGCCGTTCTTTATGATTATTTCTGTGGTTTCTCTGAGTTACCCAGATGAGTGATTTTAATGTGCTGCCTAACTTGGGATTTCTGGTTCAGAGAGACTGAGACACGGGAAGAACCCAGGATGAATGCTGTAAGAGCATGAGTATTGCCCATATATCTCTGCTCTGTTTATCTTTCAGCTCCCTTGTTCTCATATAAAATGAAAGAGGAAATGGAGATTTTTTTAATTTTCAAAAAAACTCTGCCTGGTATTGTTTCCCCTGCTCCAGAGCTGATTTTTCTTTTCATTTCTTTCCATACACCAGAAGCCTTTTTGTAGGCGTGAGGGCAGCTGGTGAGGCTAATGTGTGAACCTCTCAGTACGGCCAGGCACTGTCCCAGGAACGAAAGGAACAAGTGAGGAAGTTGGGGGGCGGGGAGCACGGGCTACTCATAGAGAACTGCAAAGAAAATGTAGGCAGCTTAGTACAACCTATTGTCCTCAATTAAATTTTAGTAATCTTTGATCACATATTTTTTCAAAACAAGTCTCGGCATCAGATATCTCATGAATTATTTGCCAGTGCCAGTAAAAGGTAATGTAAAGTTTGAGCAGAGTCAAGTGTGTCTGCTCTTCCGACTTTCCCCATGAAATAAAACAAGGTTCACTGTGGCCCCACGGTGCCAGAACCCGGAGATGAGAGTTCTTCCTCTATTTCCACAGAGTACAGTACAATCCATAGCCCATCAACACCCATTAAAGATTCGGACTCTGATCGGTTACGTCGAGGTTCGGATGGGAAGTCACGTGGACGAGGCCGAAGAAACAATAATCCTTCACCTCCCCCAGACTCTGATCTTGAGGTATGTCATTGCCAACAGCCGGGTGAGAAACAAGGCACCTCAGTAGCTAGGTGGTGGTTCTGTGCACCCACATGGTCAACAGCAGTGACCAAGGTGTCCAAGAGCTTTGTTACTGCTTTCTTCTTCATAGTAACTGCAGGTAGAGGGTTATTTTCTCTCTTTCACATTTATTGTGAGGAAAGCAGTGGTTTCTGTTTTCTCTTCCATTCTTACTATGTGGTAAAGTATCCGCTTATTTCTAAGGAAATATAATAAATTGTATAAGTCTGCTTGAACAGAACTCTCTTAGAGTGCTCTATATCATTTCAGTTGAGTAATTAAAGACACACTTCTGTGTGTTCAGAAGGAAAGCCTGCAGTGTTCTAAACTAAAGTGGTCATCGTCTTGTGAGACATGTGGTGTTGGGTTCAAAAGAGGTTAAATAAAACCTTAAAGGCTGGTAGAGTCCATGGCCTTGAATCCACTGCAATTACATTTCTGGGGTTTTTTCCCCAAAGTGAAATTTAATGGTGGAAAACTTGATTATTTTTGCCAAAAAGATGAAATTTTCAGCATATGGCTGGTGTGAGTGGGAATGGAAAGAAGAAAAGCTGTCTTTCAGGCCTTTGGTGGTTTCTCAAAGGCCTTTTGGAAATGAGTCCTTTAAATCAGTTCTGAGTGCCCCAGGAGCAGGTGTGATGTGTCCACTTAAGTCAGTCACAATCTGTAATCGTAAGAAAACCAGACAGAACAATATACACCCCATCCATTTGGTAACAGCCCAATAGGTAACATAAGATAAACAGATGATATAAAATTTTGGTTTTTGTGAGCAGCTTTTTAAGTACTCGGCTTGATAAGAATAAAACATAAGATTATCTGTTTTAACACTTCTTTATGAATAGAGAGCAGAGATAAGGAAAAGATAAACTGAATGACTTTTTAAAGGATTGTATCTCTCTGTCTTGGAAGTTATAAACAGACTAGTGTTAGCTCATTTTTTATTTCTTCAGAACTAAGAACCTCTTCTGGAAGCAGAAAGGACATATGTTATCATTGCTCTCCTATACTTATATTGATGTAGCTAATATAATTGTCTTCTTGTATTTATCTGAAGTTGCAGCTGAAGAAAAGCTGAAAGAAATACTTCAAATAGTTGTAGTTTTAAAAAAAGTAAATTCAGATTTTTCAGTTGTATCTCATTTCAAGACTAGTATTCATATTGACGTTAACTGAACACCAAGGTTTCTCAAGCAAGGGGCAGACACACTGATCCGGTTCTTCCTTTGTAGAGGGTGTTCATCTGGGACTTGGACGAGACCATCATTGTTTTCCATTCCTTGCTTACTGGGTCCTATGCCAACCGATATGGGAGGGTGAGTACCAAGGGGTGTTTCTTTGTCTTGAGAGTAACAAGGCCTAGAATTAAATTTTTGTCCAAATGGGAATGTAGTTAAACTTTAAATAATAAATTCAAAATCTAAAAGGGAAAATAACTTGATATATTGATGTAGTCAGATAGATGTGTAAGGAAAAACATGTAAATGAACAAAAGGAGATTGTTTTATGTTCTTAAAAATGAGAGAAACTTTATGCAATTTAATTCATTCTTATTCAGCCCCTGATGAATAAAAGTGATTGAATGCTATTATAGGATCAATCATGAAAATGTATAGATGACAGCCCTGGCTGGGTGCCTCAGTGCATTAGAGCATCATCTTATGCACCAAAAAGGTTGTGGGTTCAATCCCTGGTCAGGGCACATTACCTAGGTTGCAGGTTTGATCCCCAGTTTGAGCACATACAGCAGGCAACCAGTCAATGTTCCTCTCCCTCTCCCTCTCCCTCTCCCTCTCCCTCTCCCTCTCCCTCTCCCTCTCTCTCTCTCTCTCTCTCTCTCTCTCTCTCTCTCCCCACCCCCCCTTCCCTCCCTCTCCCCCTCTCCCCTCTCCCCTCTCCACTTCCTCTCTTCCTAAAATCAATAAATATATCCTCAGGTGAGGACTTAAAAAATGTACAAAGAAATAGATCTTTTAGGTAGTATATTTTATTTGCCATGTCCTTTTTAAATTATTATTCACAACATATTCAGTGGAGCAAATATTCATTTGCTATTGTCTTCAGTGATCAGCAGTGTTAGTATTTTATTTTCAAACACTTGTTATGAATGTCTTTATCAGTTCCTTTGCCATAGGGCTGAATTTTTGTGAATGGTTTGTAAAATTGGGACTCTGAATGACAGGACCAATACGTTTATGTTCAAGTTGTTACCATACTAACCTTGTTGTCATAGGTAAAAATAATGTTATAGACCACCTTACATGACTACATGTTTCAATGTTCTGCATCTGGGTCTTCTAAAATGTTGGAAATTTTTTTGATATATTGCTTGGTGAGGTCATCAACTTTCCCACTGGAAAATCATGCTATTTAAAGTGGCTATAGGTGGTTTCTGAAATTATTCTGTGAATGTGGTAGTTCTCATTATTTTTAATCTGTAAAGAAATAATGTTGCAAGTCTCAGATTTTTGAGATTCCAGGTGTTTATCACAATTTAGTGTTAGCGTTGATGCCCATAAGTGTGTGTGTTGTCACTGCAGGTTCTATCCGGGTACCCTTGTTTCGGTAAATATAATTGAGTGCCTGCTATGTAGGCGTAGCCTGGAGGTAAAAGTGGGGGAGTTATCAATTGAGCTTCACAGTGTACTTTTCCTTCTCACAATGCTGATGATGCCTAATCAAAAAAAAAAAAAGCTGTAAAAATGTACCTATGTAATAGTAAGAATATTCCACCATTTGAATTGCTGACCAGAAATAAGTTACCTACAAAACACAATGTGTTCCATCTTACTGTTAAAAAAATTCCCAAGGGAAGACGACAATTAACAAAAATTCAGATTATAAATACAATTATTGAATCAGTAATTCTAAGAAAGTCTCTAACTGAAGCTAACACAATAAGGATTCAGTAAATATTAGCTGCATTAATTTTTGTATTTTTTATATAAATGCTATTGTCACTAGAAATAGTGATATTCCTATTTTTACAAAAAAGACTTATAAAATGAATTAAAGATTAATACCCGAAACATCAACATGTGAGCCAGTCAGAAGCATCTGAAAGGTCTTAACTAAACCATTACCATGTCCCTGCACCTAACTTCTTTGAAGTAGGGTGGCCCTTACTCACCCAGAAGTGCTGGAAAGAACATGTACTTAGAAAACCGGAACTCAGAAACCATCCAGAAAGTCTCGAGTCTTTAAAAGCATTTTCACAAGGGCCAAATTGATGAAAAGAGAGTTGACTTGATCAATTCTTTCTAGCTGGTGAAAAGGGCCAGCTTACAGCAAGGGGTTGAACATTTCATGACCTATTGACCTCCCATCAGTCGTTGACCATAAATTTACTGGTTTACACATGGAATTTACACTTAACCTAGAGACTACTGGCTCCCTAGAATTTTCCCTTCAGATTCTCAACACTAGCTAAATGAAACATTACAAATATCATGAGTCTTATTTTAAAAACTGTCAACCATTAGTATTTTGAGGCTTCCTCAAATAGCATTTTGTTTGTTGGGTTACTTTTCTTTTATACCAGAGCAGGTGATAAAAAAAGTTTCATATATAATTCCCAAAAGCCAAAATTGTGTATTCTTTAAAGTATGGGTGATTTTAGATATTTAAGTATAAGCTTACCTATTTTGTAAGTTGCCGGGGTTAGGCAGAAAGCAGATTTAGAAAGCCTAGTTAGGGAAGGTCTTCCTGAGCAAGACTTTGAGGCTTGAGTCCAGAAAGGCCTGAAGAGGCTGGTGGGCCATGGAACCATCAAAAGAAAGAATGTTCTAAGCAAAGGAAACAGCAAGTGCAGAGGGCAGAAAAGGGCTTGATTACTGAAGGATGAAGAGGCAAGCATGGCCGAGCTTAGCACTGGTGATGCAGAGTCTAGAGAGATGAGGGCAGGGACGGAGGGCCACCCAACCATGGTCAGGAGAACTGACCTCATTGCGCATGCCAGAGGATGGCATTCAAAGACTCCATGAGAGGATGTGACAGACCTGATTCTGATTTTTAGATGTCTTTGGCTGTGTGTGGAGAGTCAAAAGGAACTAGAGAGCAGATGCTTTATCAGCAATTTGGTGAACTAGCAGTAGAAATGGAGAGAGCTGATTGAATTCTAGATTCTACTGCAAGTAGAGGAATTGGATTTGGAAATGATCTGGATTGGATCACTGGGTGATAAGTAGCAGAGAGGAATGAAAAGATCATTCCCAAGTTTTTGTCCTGAGCAACTGGGAGAATAGTCGTAGGAGAGAGTTGAGATGGGGGAATACCAGCTGGTAAGGGAAATAGAAAGTCTGGTGTCGGACCAATTTGAGATGTCTATGAGACATCCACTTGACCCAGGCAAGGAGGCAAAGGTGGGAATGAGGCCGTGGGCAGGGCTGGGGAGGTCAAAGTTAGAGTCGACCATGCACAGCTCAGGATCAGAAGCTCCTCAGATGTTCTTAGCTTGATTTCTTCCTGAACATTTATTGAGCACCTTCTTCGTGCTGGATGCTCAAGGACAGTCTGTGGTCTTACACTCCAGCCAGGTATTGAAGACACAATTGCTAACTAAATCGTAGCCTGAAGCATACTAGCAAGCTTGCTTAATGTTCTCTTCATTAGTGAACTTTAGAGTTAGGCAGAATTTGCTCTCATATCTGATAATCATGCCTTGTAAAAATCTGCAGTTCAATAAGTATTCTTCTTGTCAATAATAATAACCAAGATGATCAGAACATTCTGCATCCTTTTGGTATCCTTTTGCCTCCACTTTTAGGAGAAAAGTCCTAAAGCAGTTCAGGAGCAAGCCTTCTCTCTTGGAGTGCACATTTTGTGGTGTTCTGCACATTGTCAAGGGGAGCATGTTAAGGCTGGGCCTTACTCTCCAGGCATAGAAAGAAATGAATGCCTGACAATGTGATAGCTGTTCTGTCTCCTTGGGAACCAGATACTTGAGAAGTAGCTTAGTCACAGTAGCTTAGGCAACTCCCTGAGTAGGCCATTCAGTAAGGGGACACAGGATCTGGTTGATATAATGCAAAATTAAGGCATGTTTCAGCAATATGTACAAAAAAAAGCTTGAGAATGCCCTACCTCCTGTGTAATTCTAGCTCTGGGAAGCAGGCATGTTGGGTGTTATAAGGAAGTGGTGTTTTTATAACAAAGTTGATGGGAACTAACGGAGGGTGCCAGCCTGGTGCAGGCTTGGCTGTGGAAGAGAAGAGAAACAGCATCGTAGCAGGAGAATAAAGTCCGTGGGTATTACTGCAGGTTGTTGTTAATGTCTGGCCCAGCTTCCTTTGTTTAATGCATTTTTAGAAGTTGCTTTCAAACAAGGTCCAAATTCTCCAATTTCACTGAAGATAACTAGTCTTAATTTTTTTTCCATTAAATACTTTCTTTAAAATAGACAATACATTTTGGAATAGTCATGGAATCATCAAGCCTATGTGAATTCTCAACATGCATGTATTAAATTTTGATTGTCTCCGGTTAAAAAAAATAGTATAATCTAGATGCCATATCAAAGCAAGTGCCACAGACTTCTATTCCAAATAAGCATCAGCTGATGCTTATCCCCAAGCATGGCTTCCCTCTCATGGGAAGATTCCCCAGCATATCAATACCCAGTGGCTTGATTATTTTAATACTTATCTTTTATTGTTGCTTAGATGTATTTGGCCTAGTACATTCCTCATTTTATACAGAACATAAACATGAGTACTTATACCAACATAAAGCTTAGCATTTTACCCCTGGCTGGCATAGCTCAATGGATTGAGCACAGTCAGTGAACCCAAGTGTCACAGGTTTGATTCCCAGTCAGGGCACATGCCTGGGTTGCAGGCCATGGCCCCCAGCAACCGCACATTGATGTTTCTCTCTCTCTTTCTCCCTCCCTTCCCTCTCTAAAAAATAAATAAATAAAATATTTTTAAAAACTTAGCATTTTCAATTCTAGGTCCTACTTATTAATAATTTTCTATGTGCCCAATACTCACTTAATTCAACATTAATGCTCTGAGACTGCTAAGCCCATTTCACAGATGAAGAAACTGAGGTTCAGAGGAGGTTAGAGACTAAAGGTAAAAAAACACAAATACTATAACTGGTATAAAATAAATATTAAATTGTATTTTAATGTAGTTGAACTTTGACTGCCAAATACTTGACTCTGGCCCAATGGCCAATGAGTAAGTAATATGTGGCCATGTCTTCAAATTTATGAAGTGCCAATAAGTAACATAATTTATGGTGTGATAGAATGAGCATCGGATTCAAATTCAAGTAGATCTACCCTTAAATCCAAGCTCTGACTTTGCAGGGT